TCTCGGCAAAGTGGAAACTCTTTGGATTTCTTAGAGCAAAGTATTTCTCTGATCCTGAATGAATTAACATACCGAGTTTTACACCATAAAAGTGATTCAACCTGAGGAACTGCTGCATTTTGCAGTCAGAGGCACCAGACCTTGATATATTTAATAATATTGTGTTTGTTTATATATTTTTCCAAAGTGTCATACATGGGGTCATAGCGTAGGGTATAGATTACTCTGCCAGTCACACTTTAACCAGTGTTAATTTCGTCAACAAAAATTTTGATGGCAAGTATTCGTTGACCACCTTTTACTTCATGACTAAATTCGAATGATAACATAAATGAAAAAATGGTTGACAGCGGAAATTAAGACAAAATATCTGTTCGTTATGCTCTGACGAGTAAAGACGAGACGAAGTTGCTGACTCTGTTTGGACAGATAACCCAGATCACAGTAGTCATCTCAAAGCTTTGGTTGTTATCCTTTTTAACTAGTCATTTACTTGGGCATAAATCTGCAAGTGCTTTACAATGCGACCCGACGGAGTCGCCGATGCGTTGCAGTCGCCCGTCAGATATCTAACAGGCCAAATATCTGGACTTTTCTGCAACTCCAAGTCCTGTAGGTGTAAAAGGTGCTGTGACTGGCAGTGAGTCCAACAATGAGCCACAGCGAAGGAGAGCGTGAGACAGGGGGTGAGGCGATTCCCGAGGGAGGAACGTAGAAAGGTGTACAAAGTTCGGTTTGTTTACGAACTGTTCTTAGCGTTAAGGGACACACACGCGTGCAAGGGTAATCTTTGAGATAAGTATCATCCTGAAACTAAACCGAGATATGTAAACTGTATCTGGTAAACAGAAGGAAAAGTCACATAAGATTAATGCCATGCTAATGTCTATTTTTTGTCGTTTCAGCAATTTTACTGTATTATTTAGTTTATTTATGTTTCTGAAGAAGGTCTATTGTAAATTGTGAAGACAGGTTTTGCACACGATTACATGGGTGTTTGATAGATATTTAGATAAATATTAACGAAAAATATTACAGTATAAAATTGCCATACAGTTGAATTTGATGGGTGCTTTAATGACCTAATAAGAAAAATGAAACAAGGAAAAGTATAAGTATGTGTTGTTGATGTATGCTGAAAAAATACGACCATTAAAGGAAATATGATTGAATTGTACTTTTTCTAACAAACTTTAGGCATTCATTTTTATATATGAAAGTATGGTAAGTCAGTAACACATTCTCAGCCTAGATAACGAAGTGTCATAGAGTATTCTTATGTATATGCTGTGCTTATGTCTAAGGTATGCTTACTTCCAGTGTGTGAAATACCCTTCAATATTTGGGGGGGTCCCCATCTCCCTATTGTTACGCAATACCGATCTTGAGACCCCCTTAAAATTTTGCTTTTGAGGCTTTCAGTGGGTCTCATGGGTTAATCGGGGCGTGTCAAGGGAATTTATACAGCCAGGAGAAATATCCTTCAGCAAAATCCACTTCAGTATCATTAACCTCTCTGAGAAAATTACGACTGAAAAATTAACTAAAATTGACTAAAATCAAACCTGAGTGCCATTGACTAAATCTTAACTACAACAAAACAAAAACAAAAGACTAAAATGTGACTTTAATCCAACTACAACTTTCAGTAAGTGACTAAGACTAAAACTAAATTTAAAATGTTTGCCAAAATGAACACTGCCTTTAACTTGTACAATATAAATACAATCTATAGCTATAAACATGCATTCTTATATACTGTACAGCTGTGGAAGTGAGGAGAATATTTCAGGTTATATGATAAGGAGGACAGTGGAGATGGTCAGTCATGCGAGTTTGGAATCATGGCTTATCTTTCCCTCTTCTGGACACACGGCATTTTGTTTCACTTTCGTTTGTCGCTCACACTGTGCAGTGGAAAGACTGAGATTCTGTTTGCGACACAGTTGACCTGAAAGGATTTCATTAGTATTGTAACACAATGAGTTTCCCCACCTGCCATGGAAAAACATTACACAGGATCAGGCCCCTTACTCCACTGCCTTCAGTCCAGCATCTGTCTCTGCAATTAAGCTCACGTCAGTGATTCGGGTGCATGGTGTTAAATAAACCAAAGGGTGAAAGAATGTTAAGTATTAAGATAAACTATAAAAGATCACAAATAAAGTTCATATCTGTATTACATACTCATTTTTTTATTGTTTGATTATTGAAAACAGCACTGACTGTTGTGGTAACGGGAAATAAGAGTCAGTGGTTGCATAAGGTAGGGATGAAAGACTAGGCTTTCGTGTTTCATATGCTTTTTGCATTTTATCTATTTTTGTTTCTGTAAACATATGGTCACTAACTAGCCTCTGTGGACCATTTTAGGGAGCCATTCTTTAAATTACTTTCTAGCCACCATCTGTGCATCTGTCTTTATAACATCCTCTCCAGGGATTAAAAGTGTTTATGCAAAGGATTTTTTAATGAATTTATTTTATAATAATAAATTTATTAAAGACAGATGTGGGTCTATAGATCATACAGAATGATAAGACAAAATCTAAAAACTGAACGTGACTTCTGGTATGTATTTCAACCCTTTCACTGTATTTTCTGGAACAAAATTTCTGGACAATGGACCTGAGTCCCTGTTGCAATTGGTGGAATACCTGGAGAGATCCTTATTTTAAGGTATTAGGCTTAAATTAAATAAAACAACCATTTCTGAATCACAATATTTTTATCCTGCGTCTGCAGTGAGTCGAGCAGCAATGTCCCCACACTTTTCCTCGCCATCTGTTTCCCAGTGAGATGCTGGCTTGGGATGTGTGGATCGATACTGAATGTTTCATTTTGAGAATCGATTCTAATGAAAAAATATAGATTTTCTTTACCTAGTAATTGAAATGTTTGTATTATTATAGGGAGCAGGGCATTAGGTACCACCAGGCAGGGCCACCCGTTAGGCAGTAGGAAAATGGAATAATCTGCAAATTCCCACCCCCAGGACCAGCTCCAAATATCGATATCAGCAATACCAACCTTGGTATCAGATCGATTCGGATCAAAAAGAACATAAGTGGCTCTTGCGTTGTTTACTACCAAGAAGGAATACTAAGGTTTACTACCAGGAAGGAATACTAAGGTTTACTACCAGGAAGGAATACTAAGGTTTACTACCAGGAAGGAATACTAAAGGTCTCCACTAAGCATCTTTGCTCAGACTTTTATCCCATTTTGGTATCAAAATACTGCATGATTAACGTGATCAAAGAAAGAGTAACACGTCATGACTTTAAAACGAATAGTATGTGTTAATGCGTTAACTTTAGCAGCCCTGGAATTCATCTCGAAGACAAAGGAGAAATTCTCTGATACATCCCCAAAACGTGATGTACATGCAAGAGTTTAGTCTATTTCCATGAAATAAGCAAACTAAAACAGAGTGTGATTAGTGTGTGTTTTTTTTTTTTGTAAGTTCAGAGCATGCTAACTCTTACACCTCCTTGTACAACAACACATATTTTAAAGTTTTTTATTGGAAAAAAATAAATTACCCCACCCCCACATAACCTTCGGGGAGCTCAGATAGCTTTTATTTATTTATTTGTGTTTGCTTGTTTGTTTGTTTTGTTTTAAAAAGACTTGTACTTATCTCATGAAGGGGATCAAGTAACAGGTCAATGTTCTATGTCCAGGAGATACAGATACATGTGTATTTCATTATAAATACGACCAAAAGCAGCAGCAGTAGTAAAAAATGTATTTTGTAAGATCCCATTTGACTTGGACAAAAGAAACGTAAACTTATGCAAAAGTTGGGTTTCACCATACCATGAAAAAATACTATTTTTTAAGATTTTCTTAGATGTAAAAAACGTTACAGCTCATAGGAGAACACTCTGAATGGACATTTCTTGCTCCCCTGGGTATAGGAAACATGCTAGATGTCAAAAGGATCTTTTAAAGTAAATAAACGAAAAACATTTCTGAGCTCTGGGAGCTATTTGTAATTCACATGCCAGATTTTATCAAAATCAAGACTGGCGATGTAAAGGCCATTTGTTGCAGTAAAACAGAGTGACCCCTACAGATGTGTCGCATTAATACTTCAATTGATTTAGGGCTTGGCAGACCTTAGTGAATAGTGTCGGGGATCCCTTGTTGCTTGACTTGGATTTTGTATTCACATCACAGGTGCCATAAGGCAAGGGCCCCCTGAGTGATAGGGGGTCTAGAAAATTTGGAAAATACCTGTATTGGTCTGGACTGGGGGGCCCCTGATTGACATCACACGTGACTAAACAGGACATGAAACACACATACATGTGAAAACTGGTTCAGTTCAAAATTGCTGCATTTTTGTAATGTTTCATCATGTTCTCAAATAACCTACTAACGTACTGTGTTTAATTTCGGGCTTTCAGCTTTCCTTCCCAGTTAGCGATCTTCCCCGTCATAAATGCTGTGCGTGCTGGGATTAAATGAGCACATTTAAGCCTGTGTGACCTTAGTGTCATGGTCTGTAACAGACCAGAGAAAGAAAGTGTTCATCCAAATGCGCCAGGTGGGCTGGATAGCGGCGTAAACCTGCATCGCAAGGACCGTGCGTAACGCCTTTGTGTACGAACGCTGCCTTAAAAACATGAATGACCCGTAATAGCTTTTCCCACCAGAGGTCTGATTGCTTTTGTGTAATTGAATGCACTAAAAGTACACATTGCATCAATAATCAAGCTCTGTTTAGAAACAGATGAGGGAACTTATTAGTCATTTGCAGCCCATTATAAAGGGAACATGCAATTTTAATGGCGCACAATACCAGCGTACACAAAATCTGCCACATTCAGTTCTCCTGGGCCCTAACACTAAATTATCTCTTCTTTTTTATCTGGCTGAATTAGACTGACTTGGAGTCAAAGCATTTGTGTTCTGATGAAGACGGCGTATATCCTGTGTAGAGGGGCGTTAGGCTGCCTATGATTGGGGTTTGTGAACACTATCATTCGTAGGCTATGATGAGGCTCCCCTGTGCCCCCCGGAGGTGAGGGACTGCTATGACAGGCTGTGTCTACCTGGACAGGCACTGCCCCCCGGCTTCCCCTCCCCCCACATCTGTCCCGACGGCCTGTCCTCCATCGAGACACTACTAACAAACATACAGGTACACCCACGTTTCCCATACGGTTACTTATTGTTTGTTTGTTTATGTTTATTTCTAGTTTTTTTTTTTGTCATCATCTCAAAGGATTCAATGATTCAAAGGGAAGAATTCCTTTGTAGTGAACTATAATATACATAAAATGCGTATGCAAATTACAGTTGCATGCAAGTAGGAAAACAAGGTGCTGAGATTAAAGTAACAGTGGTTAATAAATAACGGTGGTGATTGGGATAATACTGCGAGTTATTGCTGTCTATTCGTGGGAGGAAGCTGTTCCTGAGTCTGTTTGTACTTATGTGGAAATTCTGCAAACCAATTTAATTACTATTTTTAACTGTGATTTTCAAAGTTAATGCTGCTTCTAATATATGGATACCTATAATGTAAGACAGAACTGGGACATAAGCTAGCCATGTTAAAATTGATGAATCCTACCCCCACAAAAAGAAAACATTCATGTTACTTTTATTCACGGGGCCATTTCATAAATTATGTAATTATTTATGGAACAGCACTAAACTCTTGAAGCATGTCTCCAGGGGCTTCTGAAGGTCGCCATCGACAGTACCCGAGCGCAAGAAAAACAGGTGCAGCTGGAGAAGACTGAGCTGAAGATGGAGCTGTATCGAGAGAGGGAGCTTCGGGAGGCGCTGGAGAAACATTTGGCGATGGAGCAGAAAAACAGAGGTAACCCCCCACAGACGGGGAACATCAGCCATTACCATCAGAGGCAGATTGCCAACACAAAATCATACCATGGAACTCAGCGTTGATTTGCTTAACTTCCAAGATAATTAAGAGAAATATAGCAAATACAGAACTAAAAGTGTGTAATTCAGTCCTGTTTGTTTTCTTTTTCATTTAAATGGATTTTGCATAATGGACGCAATAAAAAAGTATTCTGCCATAATTACATTGTAACTCCTTTTACTGAACTGTTGTCATAAAGCTTGATTTCCATTTTCAAGTTTAACGACTTAGACTGCCTGTAAATGGAAGCACACTCTTGAATGTCTAATTTTAAATACTTGAATATTTTTGAACGATTCGTTATTTTTGTAAACAAAAGTTTCACATTATTTAGTATCTTAGCATCACAAGGATGGAATGATTGGTTTACAGTCAGAAGTCATTTGTTTTTCATCAAGATAATGACCCTAAGCGAACACAAAGGTTATGTAAGTACTGTATTGTCTTATGAAAACGGAAAGAGACGGAGTGCTGAGACAGATGACCTGCCCTCCCACAATCCCCCGACCTAAACCCTACAGAGCTGGTTTGGGATGAGTTGGATTGAAGAGTAAGAGCAAGGCAGTCAACTAGTGCACAGAACTTGTGGAACCTCCTTCAGGACTGTAGGAGAAGCTTTCCGGGTGGCTACATCTGGAAGCTGTTTGAAAGAATGCAGAGAGTCTGCAATGCTGTCAACGAAGCAAAAGGGGGCTATTTTGAAGAGTATAAAATTTGAGAACATTCTGAGATGGTGAACACTTCTTCAATATTTCATAAGTACGATATTGCTCCATTGCCTCAGGTGAATAACAGCTAAAATGCAAACACATGCATTATAAGCAGGAGTGTCCAGACTGGTGTATTTAACCATAATTTCAATGAGCAAGTGTGTGTACATTGCATCATTCATTTTCTATGAAATTTCTATTAGTTTTTAAAGAGCTTATTTGAGTCTGGGTAGTAACTTGGCATAATGTGAGTCACAGCTCTCTTTGTCTTACTGTGTGTGTGTGTAAAAGGATCAAAGCTGGTTGACCTCCATCAGTGTGAGACCACAGGGAGTCACATTTGGGAACAGATGCACCTCTGAGTTACAACTTAATTAGACTAAAGTGCAGGATCACCTGGTCATATTATAGTAATATTATTTGGGTTACATTTTAGTTTGTGGTACACACCAAGCGGAGATGTGACAGTCAATAGCCTGGGCTGCTTTCTTGTTTTCCTCTCTAGCAATCCTTCATAAACGCTTAAAAAAGGAGAAAAAGACAAAGAGGAAGCTACAGGAAGCACTGGAGTACGAGTCCAGAAGGCGAGATCAGGTGGAGCAGATGCTGAAGCAGACGCCACAAACGCCGAGCCTGAGATCTGCAAATGGTTGGCGCTTTAATCTACCTGCTACCTGTTTTCACTGATTTGATCGTTTTGTTTGAATGGCAGCTGCACACTTATATCTGATTCATGAATCGGATGAATAAAAGTCAGGCTTGAATTCGCAGAGGTTCTTCCCCTTTCCTGTACCTACTTCTGCTGTCATCCCCATGTGAGGAAGACTAACAAACCCATATGGCTTAGCCAACTGGAGCTGAGACTGCTGGACTTTCCTCCTAGGCAGGGTGCAGGGCCTTACATAGTGGCAAAAAGTGGCCGTCAGGTCCACCAGTGAGCAAGAACTACACAGAGATTGTGTAGTAGAGGACTACATAAAGTAAGGAGAATATTAGGGTATATATCTGGGACAGACGTATACCTACAGACAGGGACAAGGTACAGATGTACTGTATTGAATGAACACAAACAGTCATGGTCACTTGACTCTCTTTCCTGAGCTGACCATGCACCCCTTTCCTTCTTCATTGTCTATATTGGACTGCCCAACATCCCCCCCCCCACATGCATACCCAGAGCAGCAAAAAATGTGTTAATTCATTTACATTAAAAACAGTACGTGTCAGTAGAGCAGGATATTTGGCTCTAACTAGGTAGCTTGCGCCAGAAGTCGTCAAGTATTAAAAAGTATTTAAAAGAACTATCATGTTACAGGAGGCGACCAGAGGTATTTCTTCTGATTTTTTTCACTCGCTCTTTTGCGCCCCCTAATCAAATGGCGCCCTAGACCATCGCCTATGCAGCCCCCAGCGCAGGCCAGCTCTGGTTGGGCTTCATTGCCCAACATTATTTATAGACACTGTACTGATTAAGTAGCTGGAAGATGGATGAATGGATTACTTACAGTTTTGTCGGTATGATGTGTTTTGTAATAATAATTTGTAATTTTTAAATGTTTTCTCTCCAGCTTATATTGATGCTGTTCTTGGTACGGGGCAATAATGGCAGGCAATGAATAGAACAAAAACTAAAATAAATGTCTATATGACTGTTAATTTTGTCAGATGATGGTTAATGTATAGGGGTTTGTCAGGTAATGTGTCAGTGGTTCTAAAACAAGCAAGACGTACTGTAGTACAACAAAACATGCAGTGAAAACTAGCCTTGGGCTATTATTGTAATTACAATGAAATTGCAGCGATCTATGAAATTATTATTATTCTTATTGTAATTGTTGTTGTTTGTTTATTTTGTATATTTACTTATTAATGTATTTAAAATAATGCCTATTTAGGAGTCAGTAAGTTCAGCTCTGTTTCAGTGCTGTTGCTATTATTAAAGCCAGTGCTTTTATGTTAGTACAGATTCAGTTATTTATGTCATTATGTATGAATAATAGCAAAGCGCTATTTTCCTCTTAATTTATGTATTGTTGACCCTTCCCTTTCCCTAGACTCGCTGACCCAAGACATTGAGATTGAACACAGTAGCAGCAGAACAGATGCTGAAAGGACAATACAAGGTACATGCTTTGAAGAGGCTGTAAATTTGTTTCATGCCGCTGTGAATAAGCTTTATTTGATCTCAGCCTGCTGTTCAGGCATGCACCTTGCCATCTGGGCTGCAATCTCCTCAAGTCAAGATGAAGGTCAGAGTAAATCTGTCCGGATATTGTACTTGTGTGGAAATATATGTACATTTTTTCAGTGTTATACAGCAATTTGTTCTCTAGTCTTTTTCCATCATGTTCCTCGGTTCACTCTGACACGCCTCTGTGTTTAGATGTACTGTCGTTTTTCACGAGAGACTGAAGATATTTGGGAAACTTCAGAATTGTGAAACTGTGAAACTTTATTCTTTTCTGTTAATGTTTTGCACACTTGTTAGCGAGTCTTTTTCATAATGAATGAACAGGATATAATGATTTTTATATGGCTGCTGAGGACCCTGAAAATAAACTGCAGGGCAGTATATCACAGGAGACGCATGTATGCCCATTTAATTTGAACTACATTGTCAGTAATTCATATCACACTGCAGTACTCTGCAGTCATGGGTGGACTATAATTATAGTGAAATGGCATAGAAAAGTGCTGAATATTGTCATTAATTACACAAGCTCACAACCGAAGCTCATCACACTTAAAAAGCCTGCAAGAGCTGTGTAATGCATTTACTGTGCTTCTGTGGTAAAAGAACACATTAATGAGAGAATCATTTAGAGAATTAATTATTTCTATTTGTCTTGTGTCACACTGTCTAATTCTGCAGCATTAACTGCTTGCACTTTTATTAATAGATTTTCCAGTCTTTGAATCCATGCCAAGAATGGACTTGCAATGCATTTTCTGACTGCAGACTTGTGGGATTACATGATGGACCGCATTGATGTTTCCATGGGAGGAGTTTTATTTGATTCCAGCAACTTTCCACTTGATGTATTCCTGGAGTTCATACAGATAAATATACATGATAATTTCCCAGTGTTTCCGTCGCCATTTAGGAGATATATATTTTTTGCACGATTAAACATAAAAACAGTTAAAGTGAAATTAAAATTAAATGGGTGAATCTCAATGAAGCAAAAAGGCAATAATTAATGGTTCCCTTAATTGTCTTCATGAAATATTTGCATGTGCATAATTTGCATAATTTACTTGTATTAATTAATCTTTCAAAGGAATTTTATGTTGAGGAAAGTCAAGAAAAATTCCTGTTGTTTTATTTATAATATAACAGTTCAGTCCTTTTTTTCGTCTTTAATTTTTAACGTATTATGGTAGCATTTATTTTAGGAAATGTAGCATTAAGCAAAATATTACAATATTGGGTACAAAGAAAAACATAAATTTCTTAATATTTTTCACCACTTTATATTACATGTAAAGTGAAAGCATGTTTTGCATTTTTTTTATAATTGTATTAATGAATATCACAGATATTTGGCAACTTTTGGCAGTTTTCAAATACCGTTTTCCATTTTATTCTTAAACCATTCTTTACCATTTTAGACATGCATTACTCTGATGTGTAATTTTTCCTGAGGTTTAAAATACAGGCCACCGTATATCTACCTGTGAAACAAAGTGGCTCTCTTTTGTAGTATTGTATTAATGCACTAATCATTTATGTACTTTTATCTATTTATTGTTTCTCATATGAAGAATGCCTGTTGTATTTTAGAACAGCAGGTCAATCCTTTTATATCAATCATTATTTAGCCTTGATGTGATGTTTTCTTTTACAGTTCTTAGATATTTGCTGTGGTTACTAAGGCCTTAAACTAATTACATTTAGTAGCTTATTCACAACTGACTGATTATCTACTGGTGCTGCATTATGAAAATTTGTTATAGGGAGGTAACTGACAATACTTACAGTTATTGTAATGCTTCTTAAAAAACGCGGGGAAAGACTACTTAAAATTCTTTATATGAAACACATTCACTGTAGTTTCTCGGAATCTGCCAGTAATTAATAGCGAAGCAACTTGAGTACTGTACTTATTTATATAATAATTATATTGTAATGTCCTTTAAAATAGTGATATTTTGCTATTTTTATTTAACAATGTTGCACTGTCATGTTGCTCTTTAATTAATTCCATGTTCCCTTTCTAAATATAAAAAAGTGGTGCTTTGTTTACAGTTAAGCTGACTTAATCAACCACATCCAGCCCGAGGTATTTGATTAGACTAAAAGCTTTGCGTCTTAACACCTTAATTTGTTGTATTACAGATGGGAGACTCTATATGAAAACATCAACGATGTACTGACTCAGCTGTGAGTACAACAGAGAGTAATCTTTGAAGAAAACTATAGGAAAACGTCAATGATGTACTGACTGAACTATGACGAGTGAGTACAACATAGAGTATCCTTTGAAGAAGACTATCTGAAAACATCAACGATGTACTGACTCAGCTCTGAAGAGTGAGTGCGACGTTCAGTGTCATTCGAAGGAGGCTATCACAAAAACATCAACAATGCACTCACTTGGCTCTGAAGAGTGAGTACAGCGTACTTTGAAGGAGACTATCACAAAAGCATCAACAATGTACTCACTTGGCTCTGAAGAGTGAGTACAGCGCACAGTATCATTCGAAGGAGACTATTGCAAAACATCACTGATGTACTAACTTGGCTTTAAAGAGTTCGTACAGCATACAGTATCATTTGGAGGATACTCTCATGGTCTCTCTGAGATACTCATTCAGAGGATACTCTCAGTCATGGTTATAGTAGCACCCTCAGCTGTACGGAAGGTTATGTTTGAAAGCCAAGGGCATCCTGCAAATGGATGTAGAGTGAGTGCGCTTTTCCTGTAAATAGAAGAACACTAAAGTCTGTTTTTTGAAATCCACCGTATGCCATATGACAATTTCCTGTTCGGAAGACTAAAACAGTTTGAGAACATGAGAAATATCAGGGCTCAAATGATTAGCAGTTTAGATTTTTACATTGCATCCTGAACAGAAAAGGTTTTGGTTTATCTTTACAGTCTAGCTACTACCCCTACTACACCTACTACCCCTACTACACCTACTACACCTACTACCCCTAGCACCATGCAAAACCATGGGTTTCATGAGAAAGTACAGTCAATTTTACAGTGCAGTGATGAAATGGACACAAGTAGTAGTTCAACGATGCATTTTCTAAATTATAAACTCAGATCATATTTTTTTTGCTACTGCTGTATATATCAGATGAAAAGTAATGCTGATTGTCACAGTTGGTATGTGTGTATAGAACTAGAGGACATTTTTATGTGTGTAGTACAATTACTAAGGAAAAAATGTGTATATTGAATATATTTATTTTCTATTATCTTTATTACTTTTATCTTTTTAAAATAGCTGCCATTTTGTCAGGATGCATGCAGGCATGTCAATGTCCACAAATTTTAATGATTCATCAATTATGCTGCATAATAAATTAATACAGTATAGGACTGATTTGACCCAGCTCAAAATTCACTTCATAGTCGTCCTATTGCTTGGATTTTTCTCTTTTTTTTGGAAGTTTCTTCTGTATTTTGTTTCAGCTTATGCTTTAATATAATTTACGACGAACATTTACAACAAAAACATGAAATATTGTTTGCTGTTCTACTGAAAATTGGACAACATATTTGATCAAATCTACCATTGTAGGACAGCTTTTGGTGACCAGCATCCAATTCCCAGCTTATTCATAGTCAGTATACGAGTCGGTGTTTTATTTTACATATTTAACCCTTTCACTGCAAAGTTATATATGAAATATGATCATTTATATGAAATAATACCCTTATACTGTGAATTGTTTGCCAAATATATAGTGTGAGAGCCAGCTTATCATGTGAGCTGTATTTACAAGAATAACATACCAAAACTGGCCTCAGTACAAATCATACCATTTTACCTCTTTTACAGTGGGTATACACTGTATAGTCCACTTGTTCCATAGCCTCTTATCCATTACTCTCCCTTTTTTGTGTTTGTCTTTAAGCAACAATAAAACACTCAATATTGGTTAAATATAGGTACATTTAGCCAATTTTATTCATAGACAAAGTACTTTTAAATCTTGTTAATTTCTGTAAAATGCACCCCTGAATGTTGGAGCCTTTCCCACGGTTGAAATACTGCACTGCAGAAGAAACGATGAGTGGGTGGGTGTTTGAAAGGGTGAATAACTGAAACTCTGATCATTTATCGTTATTTAACGTTATATATGCATTGAAAGGGTTAAGTTAAAAATCTGCACGTGACATTGAAAATAGCAACAATCTGCTCTTAAAATTTTCTACGCTCCGGGATTTACATTTCAAGCGGCTAAGCATGCTGTGTTTAAAACTGTCCTTTTGGTCAATGTTATATATGAAATGAAGTCTCAGTCAGTCAAATCCATGTTTCAAACATGATAAAATTTCCAGCAATGCCAGTAATATACAAATACAAAGAAGATAAAACTTATGGATTCATGGCTTTAAACTGTGGGTCTAGAGTATTGGGGATATTGCTAACTATGTTTAATTGCAATCATTAATTTTGCAGAGTAATGGCATACTGTAATTCCTAAAGATAATCATGTGAGATCTTACATTTTGTAAGGCACTGGGCAGCTACTTTTAATTTCATGATTATCATTGTCATATAATTATTACTATTATTTTTTAACCTTAATTTTTTTTTGTAAGTTAATTGAACTCTAATGTGACCGTCACACTATCTAATGAGCCCAATGTATTTTTTTATTTGCAATCTTTTATATAAATAACTCTATGCTTAAAATGTACACAGTTACAGGATGTATGATGGTATTGCTCTCCTTCCATTTGTATTAACGTGCAAGGATGTCTGTGTGTTTAAAGAATACTTAATTTCGTTATTTCGAATTGTGAGTTCAGTTTATGTGTCTGTATGAATGTGGGATTTTGAATGAATGTGTGCATGCATGCAATTGTTTGCATGCGTGCATGTGCTATATAAGTTACTGTTACTCCAAAACGAAATCAGAAATAAAAATACTGTGTCATGTAAAATGCATTTGTTTGATATTTGTTAATATCTGATTCATGCCCGCAATTGATATATGCCTGTAAAATTTTAGTGAAGCCTTGTCATTCTGTGCTTTTCAATGGTTTAAATAAGTATGGTGGGTAGATGGAAAGCAGTCATGAGTCAAGATGAAATATAGCTTCAGTCTCAGTTATTGCATAATCAAATAGAAATAATATCAATGGATGATCATAAATGGTCTAGCTTGCAATTCTGCCAATTTCCTCAAAGTGCTCATGATAGGAATAGAATTATTCAGAGCAGTTATGACTTTTGAGAGAGAACTGTTTTTCCTCGAATACTACAAAATATCACGCTAATTCAATAATAAAAAATATGCCTTTCAGATTCAGAAAGGTGTGTTACCAAATAACTAAATGTATTTTGTTTGCACCTTCCAAATGTGTCTATTATTTACCCATTTAGGACAATACTGGAGTGTAAAAACCAGGTATGTTGGCAGTTTACTAGGATGAGTTTCCCCGAAGATGGATGCATGGACAAATGGATGAAATTGTATAAATCAGGGGTGGCCAGTCTTATCTATAAAGGGCCGGTGTGTATGCAGGTTTTTGGGATAACCTGTAGGTCAGCTGTTCAAACCCAGGTGTGAGGACTCTTCAGCCAATCAGTCCTCTAATTAGTAATCTAATTAGGGAGTTGCAGCGAAAACCCGCATACACACCGGCCCTTGGCGGATAAGATTGGCCACCCCTGGTATAAAGTAATGAAAAAAGTGAGCAAAGGTCCCTCCAAATTCTTCATGCACATTTTCAAATTTCCTTCTATTTTTTATGAATGAAGTTGAATACTTGTTCTATATTTTCAGAATTACTAGTTTACTATTAATGTATATTAATACTATTAATATAAACTATTAATGTATTAAATATTAGAATGATTATGAAGGCATGATGTGAAACACTGCTTAGGAAGTGCATATAAAAGCAATTAAAAAAAGGACAATCTTCTGACTTATACCATATCTCTTAAATATGACAGAAACATGACGTTCCAGGGAATAGCATTTTTAATGACTGATGTTTGTGATTTACATTTGTTGTGAACATACCCATTGCAGACAAGAACAGTCACGTCTGATGGTTTGATCTGCTGTAGCTGCGTAAAATAATCTTCAAAGTAAGACATGCCATTTTATAAAATAGCCATTTAGAACTTGCAGTTAGAACTCTCTCCTGGTGTACACTGAGCGTGTGCGAGAGCCTGATGGGAAAACAGCCGTCAGCCAAAGCTGGATGAAATGATGCTCTTTCACCAAGCGCTTTTTCATCTGAGGTGTATTTTTCCTCATGGACATTTTGCCTCCTGTTCTGTATTTCCTGGCTAAATTTTTTTTCTAACATTCTCACATTTCTCATGTGTTACAATAGACTGATTTTTTTTTTTTCACCAAATGCTGAAATCGTGCGGGTATTGGTTCTCATTCTCATTATTCCTAGTTACATCAATCAGCTGATTGAATCTGTAACTGTGCCTTTAAATCAGCTTCACCAATACTAACATGAGTCAGCTTACATGTTGGTAATATGATTGCATCAAAAAAGCTTTAAAAAGGTAATACTACTTTAACGACAGTTAAACTGCACAAGATTAACCTATACTGACTTAAATTTAGGCAACGGCTAGAATCTCCTTCCACCACGAATGTGAGACGCAAATATAGAAAATACAATAAGTTAAATAAATGTCACAAGGGAAGGTACTGCTTCAGGTTGAGATGTCCCCCACCCTGATTAGCAGAGACCGGAGATGTGATATGGCCTCCTGACAAAGTTTTACAGCTTGAGCAAACTAGGAGTAAACTTAAAGCCATTTAATCAAATTAGGACACAATGTGTTTTAAGAAAATGGAGAAAGAGAATTACATGACAAGGCTCATGGCTCATTATCTAAATGAACATTTTGTGAGTACGGACATTGAAGGCCACAGGAAGGTAAAAGGCCTGAGTCGTAAGGCCTGAGTTTGGACGTTGCACAGTAATTATTCTTTCATGCTTGTCTGTGCACTTAATGAAAGTGAAAAGCTTAGAAACAGAACAGAGGAATATAATGTGGCATGAAATTGAAGGTAACCTTTTAACTTTTAGTTTATTCGCAGGAAGTCAAGCTGAACTTTTTTGAAAGTACACTTGCTTAATTTTTACCCCTTATTTAATTTATTTGCTGCATTGGATCTGGAAAAAGTCACATGACTCCACCCTTACTGTCTATATGCAGGTTTTATTGTCTTTGTAATCATCACTTTAACAACATCTGCATCATTTTCGACATCTTTGGACATCTCTAGCAATATATACAATATATTTCAATTTCCCACAGTTCCATGGACTGTATGACAGCCTGTTATCAACCTTATCCTAGTCTGCTGTTGTCGATCTTAAATTATTTAACAGATGTTAAGGATCTCCCCCAGTGTCCTAAGGTGTGTTGAGATCTACTATTACATGATTTCTGCTCAAAGCCATCTTCATCAAAATCAACCTCCAATGGAAAAAATAAACATTCTTTGTCCACTTCATTTATTCTACAAAAATTTATACAAAAGTGACAGTACAGTCATTTACTTTCTAATTATCTGTTTACACACAGTATAATTCTGGAATTCACAAGACAATCATATCAAAATGGATAAATGAACCATTGTGTCCCTGTTTCTATATTGAAAACAGGCTCAAAAATCACACCAATTTGAATCTGTTTCCACTGCCTAATAATAATAATAAGTATTATGAATGAAGAGCAGACGATTTAAACTGTGGTTCAAGATGAGCATTGAGAGCAGTGGAGGTCTTCTGGCCTCTGTTGGTGGGTCTGTTAAAAGGTAACAATCCTTGTGTGAAAGATGCTGATCTTCTTGCCATTCATCAAATTATCATCCTTTAAAATCATTACAATATCACCCCTAAAGAGAGCTATTTGCTTGGAGGCAAACCTTTTAACTCCTAGATATCATTAAGCTGAGTTTTGTTGCTGAATATTCATAATGCCGATGCGCTCCCCTGCTTCTCCAGGAGCCCCAGTGCCTGATGTGTTTGCAGCACCTCCCAGTAAGGCGGCCCACTGAGCCCAGCATGGGAATTGTGAGAGGCAGCAGGTGATATTGAGCTTTGGAGGTGCACTGCTGATCTTGCAGGTTTATAAAAGCACTAATATCATCAAGGAACCACAGTGTCATCGAAATTCTTTGAAGACACCGTTGAAAAAACCTGTTATATATATAGATAGAAATATAGATATAGAACCTGTTATATTTAGATAGAAATAATGTGTATATCTCTGTTTATAGCTTTCCCTGTGTAAATATCCATTTTACTCTGCCAGCCCCTGGAGGATGGGCTCCCCCTTTGAGTCTGGTTCCTCCCAAGGTTTCTTCCTTCTAGGGGGTTTTTCCTTGTCACTGTCACCTCTGGCTTGCTCACTGGGGGCTTTGGGCGGGGGTGCTGTAAAGCGCTTTGAGTCAATGTAATGTGAAAATGAGCCTTACCAATAAAACTCAAATGAATTAAATGGTATTCTGTCGTAATTGCACTGGACTTTTTTTTTTTTTTTTTGCACAATTTCAAAATTGTGTTCTGGAGAATTCCTTCCGTCTCACAGAACAGCCAACAGATCCTTATGATGTGTGTTACACAGGAAAGCTTGTTATTATACAAGCATCTAACCCATAGTCAGGGTTGCCTGCTAAAAAGAAGCAAAACTAATCATTGACTAATAATCTTTTGGGAAATTTAAAAGAGGTGGAATCAATCAACAAAAATAAAGCCCATTTGTCTCACTGTTCCTCTTGCGACAGTCATGTCCTCCTTCCTACATCATTGTTCTGTATATTCACGCCTGTTTTAGTGTATTCTGCTGAGCACATTGGAAAGGCTGGAGAAAACAGAGCACATCTGTCAGACAAGCACCTTGGCGTGGTCAACAAGCTGGTGAGTTCCAGTGAACCATGGAAACACTGGAAATGAGCAGAGTAGCACATGTCTTAAGATTAGACTGAGATGGGCTGCAACCCCAAGCTCTGGCCTGAAATGTAATGATAGCTGTAAAATCCTATAATTACTGTTTGAAAACTGTGCCGAAAGACTCACACGTAGCTTGTGAGGGCAGCTGAGCTAATGAGCATTTGTTATTTTTCCGCAAAGGACACGATTTTCATTGGGTCATGTTTGAAGCGAAGTTATTTTCTCCTGCCGTCTATTGGTGACATTTTGAGAAATGGCTTCCCATAATGGACGGATGGCTTGGAGTTCTGTTGCCGACAGCTGTAGCGGCTGCTTTGGTTCTCTCCTGAGTGGTTAATGTAGTTGTTCTAGTGGAGTTGTGGGGAAGATTAATGGACACAAAGGATGTGAGCCAGTTGTGAGGAGAAACAGCACTGGGCGAGCCAGAAGCCATCTGTTCACTCGCTTTTACGGCTTTTTTTTTTTATGGAGGAAACAAACAGATGGAAACAAGGCTGTGCAGACAGCTTTATTTCTGAATTACTACAGTGCACAAATGTGACACTTAGACAGGAAAGCCAAGCAAGCAAACCACGTAAGCTAACTGTTTGGTTTGGTTCCTTGGGTAGATGAATAAGCTTATAAAAATATTTTATACGAAGAAGCACACTGGACATTTGTAATTCAATTTAATTTTTATATAGCGCCTTTCACAACAGAGTTGTCCCAAGGCGCTATACATGGGTGTGTTGTGATGCATAAAAGATCAGAAATAAAGGCA